CATTTAGCCCACAGGGACACTTTTTGAAGAGAGGACAAGCTAAGTGGGGCATAGGTGTGTGTATGGCGATTCTGGGACATGGTTAAGTCCCACTGTATGGTACCAAGCCCTTCCTTTCCATCCCCTCTCTGCATTGCTCCAATACTTGCTCATTTACCTTATTTCTCCCCCAATAAGCCCTGCATCACACCCTTTGTTATCTCCTTTTGCTCTGACCGCCTGCATCTCCTGTGTTGCCCTGACCTGCTGCTGTTGTACAACAAATTGGCCTGTATTGCTTTGAGCCCCCTTCCCCTTGGGAAAGTGGAGTGCAGAGGCCCTGACGTATGGGAGAGGAGTCTGTGTACACCCAGTTGCAGCACAAGAGCAATGTAGAGTGGCTCATCCATCTCACTGATGTGGGAGCTGAAGGTAATGCCCTAGGTCAGCAGATCTCAACCTGGAGTCCATGGCTCCCTGGGGGGCTGTGATCAGGTTTCAGGGGGCCCATTGGCTGCAGATCTGGTGCAGTCACGATCTCTGAGGTCAGCTGGGGCAGCCCATGCCTGGGTTGAGCCTGCTGCCGCTGCCAGATTCATGGAAAAACATGGATTTTCTTCTTTAAAGGAGAAAAGCATGGGAAACTGCAGGTTTCCCTTAGCAGGCTGGCAGAGTTCCAGCCTGTAAGGGGCTGCTTGAGGCTGGAGGGGAGCAGGAGGAAGGTGATACAGCAGGGAGCATCACATGCATGTGCATGCATGCATGTGGCAGCCAGGCAGTGCTGGAGAGCAGCTCCCGCAGCTCCTTGCATGTAAGCACATGCTCCCTCCGATTTCTGTGCTCACAGCAGGCACAGGGCTACAGCCTGACCAGACTGGCCAGTGAGATCTAGCATGGAAAGGCAGAGCTGGACAGTGAGACGTTGCAGGTCGAGAGTGAGAGGCATTGGCAGGGCCAGGGGGCTGCAGGTCAGAAGTGAGAGGGGCCTCAAGTCCAAAAAGGTTGAGAACCACTGAACTAGGTAGTGAGTCCAGCTTAGAACAACAGTCCACAGAAGTGCAAACTGCCCCATTCACTACAATGGGTACTCTCCTCCCCAGCTTGAACTTGGGGTGGGTACAGGAAGAAGGGCTCAGACAAGCCCCTCCACCAAGGCACAGAATCATTATAGTTTCCAATACATGACTGAAAATAAAGTGAGAACTTGTGAAATTCTTAGGAGTGGCAGGACCTTCCAGATACTGGATCAAACACATTCTCTTCCTGCTACTTTGGCCTGTAATCTTTGCCCCCTCCCCCCCACCCCCCTTGCTTTTTTCTCGCTTCCAACCCCCACACCATGCTTACTACTCCAGCAGCCCCTTATTCCTGCTTGACAAACCCTCATTCTCTCACTTTCCCAGTGCTCTTGTTCAGATGACCAGCACTGTTCTTTCTTTTGATCATGCTCAGTACCATTGTTCAGGAAACATGATTGTATTATCTTAACCGTCTTTTAGCTTTCTGTGTTAAATCATTATTAGTTTCCATAACAGTGTTTGTAAGGTGAATTTGGAGCCCACCTATTAATATTAAAGCACATGTCAACATTAGAGCACTTAAAACCAGAATCTTCCATTCTGTAGCATAAACTAGGGCAGCTTGAGCAGGGCCTTAGCCCTGGAACCAGCTATGAGGGGGGTGTCAGAATTGCCCCTTAGGAGTCTTTGCCATGGCAGGGACAGCCTTACACCTGACCTATACATATCAGGATGGGAAGAGGGGAGGGAGCAAATGGGACACCAGGGCCAGCTCCCAGGGAGCCCGACCACAGGGCTGCTTGCCACTGGAATAGAGCTGACCCTGATTTAACAGTTGCAGCTGTGGTGGCAACAGTAGCCTGGGAAGGTAAACTCACCCTTCCTTTTGCCCACACCTGCTGTAGCCTCTCCTCCCATCCTCTTCTGCAGTGGTCAGCATCCCCCCACATTGCCTTCCTTCTTCAGGATACTCAGTGAACTTGCTATGCCTCTGCTTTCATTATTGGACAGCTACTGAAAGGCATCTGTAATGAATACAGGGAACCACATTTTCAGAAAGTGGCAGGGCTCCCACTTGTAGTGAGTGTTTGCAGCATGGTGTTAGGTACTCCATCATGTCAACTTGAGGCTTTGTTCCTAGAGGGCTAATACTGGACCTTTGGCCTCAGATTGCTGAATAACTGCAATTTGCTCTATTTGGTTGGGTAATTTAGTGTGAGACAATATCTAGAGCCAAACCCTCAGATGGATACATTTTCAGTTTTTAGTACTGGTCCCCTGTCTAAAGGGTGCTTTGCTTAAACTGGAATAAATGCTAAGTTACTGAGATCAGCTGGAAAACGATCAGCACCATAGTTTGAGTCCCCAGGTATAGATAAGAAATGTTATGTGAACAAATTGATTTTGAATGGCACTTTGTTCTTGAGGGGTGGAGGACCCCACCCAGGGGGTAACTGATGTGATCCTATATCCTGGCAGAGCCCAGCCAACTTTGGGTCTGTCCAAGTCAGCACATGGATTTTTAAAGCACTTTCCCTAATTCAGCTGTCTCC